ATAGGGATATTTGTCACTCAGGATGACACAGTTATCACCATAATCCCTGATGGCCAATCCCTGTTTAATACTACCTCCGATTCTTAATATAAGAACTAGTCTGACATTCAATTTGATCTTAAATATAAGATCTCCATTCACTTTGTATCTCATATTTATCCATTTTTTTAAGGTAGTTCTTGTAGTAGTTGTACATGTTAAATGTTTCATTAAATAATAGTTCCAGCTAATATACACATGATTAGTAAGAATATTTTAAGGAAGACAACACTTATTTATTACAAATAACTAACTGAACTAATTTTCTTAACTTACTCAAATTAATCAAACTAGTTCTTATATTAAAAACTGGAGGTAGTAATGCAATCATTAGCCCTAATAATTCAAAGTCGAATGGTCATTTCCAATTTTATTAAAACAATAACAGTAATGGGTAAGGACAAGTTTTTAAAAAATTATATATATATATATATATATATATATATAGAGAGAGAGAGAGAGAGAGTGGGAGAGGACCTGTAAAACACACTCTGAAAGAGCAACAGTTACTTGGTGGTTGTTTCCAATATGAATTAGTCAATTAGAAGGCGTCTCAAACATTCTTCTGGCCTTGATAACTTCTTAGGAAAATCTTATAAAGTGAGTGTACAATGCTCATCGTTGTGATATGCGCTCAATGAGGACCTAAGTGTAATCTAATTCCAAAAGCAATTTAAGCTAATTAAACATATTACATATAAGATTTTGATAACTTATTTGGAATATATTATAATAAAAAAGTTGAAAAAATAGAATGTTTTTTCCTCAACAAAACCTTCATGATTAACTTTTTTTCTTTTAATTCTAAACAAACTGCCCTAAAATGATTTGGTTTCCTATTAAAAAAAAAATTGAAGCAATCATTTTATTTTTCATTCAAATTCTCAAGTGGAGTGTTATATATATATATATATATATATATATATAAACGGTTGTACTAAAGTCACGCCTCTTGAATAGAGAAAAGCCATATTTTGAAAATTTTTGAACAAACTAAAGGAAAAAAAAGGGAAAAAAGGGTTATATGTTCTATAACTTCGATTCAAGTCAACGACAAGTTGTTCAAGTAGTCCAAGCCATCATGCTGAAATGAGGTCTCAAACATTGCGTTGACCAATTTATATGTATGTGTGCGTCTAATTACTCAAAATTAAAAAAAAAAACATATATAATTCAAAGAGGCAAAGAAATGCTGGACCACAATGCAAGTAAAATATAAAAAAGGTACGCACGCTTGAGTTGAGTTTCCAAGGTAGGGTACCGCCTTGTTGTCTTTAGAGAATATTAGCCTATATGAGATTAACAAACATTCAAGTGAGAACCTAATAAACATTTAAGGTTTATTCATAAAGTTATAACCTATTAATTAAAAATGTCACTTGTAATACATAGAAGGTAACCCTCGACTTAAGGGGACTTACCGTCATGATTTTAGTAACATAGCCTTAATTAACATTGACACGTCAACTAATATATAATGTACCAGCTAAGTGGGAGAATATAATATATTTTAATTATATTATACTATGTTGTTTTTTTTTAATTAAAATATCCTAAGTGTGGCTCATTAGTTAATTAGACCTAGTTTAGGTAGGGTTTTAGATTCAATTTTTTTCAGTTATTTCATGATCTTGATGGGAGGTTATGTTTTTTATGATTGACTGAGTAAGCATTTGAGAAAACCTAATACATAGCTCTTGAGATTTCTTAACTGGTGGCAACTTTGCTAAGTTCTATCATTATACCCACCTCCCAGTTAGAAAAGATTCTGACATTTCTTCTGCTAACAAGTTTTTATAATTTTAGATATTCTAATGATCGAGGGTATTCTGAATTGCTCCTTCAAAGATGTATTTATAAGTCTTAGGCCATTACTCTAATAATTATAGAATTCCAAATGATCGTTTTGGATAAATATATATTTTCATATGGTTTGTTCTAAAAACATTATTATATTTGTGTCTAATATCATTTTTGAGAGGTTTGATGACAGTATTTGCTTAATTAATGCAATCTAACTGGGAGATTGTTAGATGATTTTGTTGATTGTGTATTTGCATTAATTAGTTACAAGGCCAAGCATATTACTTAATCATTTAAGTCCATTAAACACTAATCTTTATGATTTTGTGTGGAATGTGATAGATGGACCACGCAAGTAAACCCATTGAGTGGAGGCCTAACCTATAACTCTTTAGCAGTCAGTTAGTCTGTTACCTTCCTTCTTAGAGGATGATCTTTTGCATGCACTATAGGAGATGGTTGGTTAGACTAGTAACCTATCTAACTTGAGAACTAGCTTTGGTGTCCATTACAGTGAAATGCTCATTGTTAAGTGAGGTCTGTATCATTTAAATACCGTTTTAATGACTTAAATTTAAAATTTTTAACTAATAATTTTTAAATAAAAATTATTTTTTGAAATATTGACATTTTTGTTTTATATTTGTACGCATTAAAATATTTTTTTAGAAATAAAAAAAGAAACTGAACTTCTCTTATTTGGATATCCATCATCTTTGCACAGAAACCACTTCCCTTAACTCGTACATTTTCTCTCCGCTTTTCTTTAAATATCTGTAAAGCGAAAAAAGTCTGTGTTTATTTGGACCTATTTATGTTAAAAACTTATGAGCATGTTCACATAAACCAAAACTATTTATCTCATATTTTATAAATTATGATTGAAAAATTATTTTTAAAGTGTTCTACCCCGATTCTGAAAATAACTGTTTAGATTAAGTTTGTGAATTATGTGCTGTGAGGTGATCAGAGTACCTTTAAGAATATATAGTTTAATTTAACTATTTTCCGTACTACATCACCATCAAGAGTTTTATCATCATATTAAAGAGAGAAGATATGTATTAATTTTCGGTAGCTTCCAACTGTCACCAAATTTAAATTATAAGCAAAATAATTGTCTACAACTTGACCCCAATATATATTCAAATTCCAAACTCCTGCATCTCGTGAAGTTTGATGGCATCCAAAAGCCGCATGTTGCTTCATCTTGCCGACCACCAAATTTACAAAAGCGAATTGATATTTATTTAGTATAGTCCACATCAAAATATCAACTTGACCCACAAAAGTCTCCCTCTCACACACAAATATGTATACATGTTCTTTTTTTTGTTTTTTTAAATTCTCCACTACTCTGGGATTGGAATAAGGATCAGGTTATGTGTGGAATTTCACCACAAAAAAATGTGCCAAGAGATTTTTGGGTAGATTTTGTACTGCCACCACTAGACATTCTATTAACGGAAAATAGTCAAAAAGAATAAGAAGACGACATTCTGCGCACCGTCCGACAACTCGCCTTAACCCCTTGGAATTCCTCATATTGCATACAATCTTATAAACTAGGATCAATTTTTCTTTTTGGGTATAAATTCTTGTCATTTTCTGAACCGTACTCAATTTTGCGGTTGATTAAGATGATTGATTCATAAATCAGGGAAAGACAAATAATCTGACATGACCCAAAAGGGCATCGTAGATTTGACAAATTATTTGACAAGACGTCTGAGTTTATACCGAAGCAAAATGCAAGCGGCGATTGCCCACTAACAATAAAGAATTGAAGGGAGTTATTACTGCTTATTGATCATTTAATTATAGTATTCTACGAAAATGATCCAATTGTATTCAACCCTAAATTTTCTCCGTTTCCCAACGCAATCAAGAATAAACCTAAATACTATAAAAAATTTCAGGTAATTTTAGCTCTCTCTGCTTATTAAAAAGAAACGTAAGATTTAGGGGATCATTTCTTACTCAATGGAAAGTGTTTCAGCTGCAGAAGGGGTCCTTTTTTTTTTTTGCCGGTTGTCGTCTTATTTATTCAGAGCAGAATGTAACGCGGGCTAGAATTCCTATGAGGCCCCAGTAGCAGCGCCCATAAAATGAATCCAACATTGCATTCTAAGCCCACAATTTCAACGTTTTGCTTTCATGGTGGAGACTTCTTGGGGGACTAGGATGCATGGTGCAATGTAGCTGAATTCAAAACAACGTCCAATGTTTTTCCGTTCTAAAAGGCTAATTTAACTGACGTGCAAAGATAATGGGAGTTCTAAAAAGGTTGGAAACAATAATTTATCGCCACATCACAAATCTATTTGTTACTGTCCCCTTGGTTGTCTAAAGGGAACGCTAAATTTCTTCCTATCTGAATCCCTGCAAAACAAACCAGTCAATATTATTAAAGAATCACGCATTTCGTGTCATATTTTTACCAAAAATCTAGTAACACATAGGAACAACCAAAAACTAATCTTATTCACGAGTTGTATGAAATAGCAAGGCATCTGATAGCGCTATGCGTAGGATTCAACTTTAACATAAGCCCAATCGATGCCTGCAAATGGATTTTACCAATAACGTTTTTTCAGAATTCCTCTAGCAATCCATTCAGCTTCTATAGGCTCTCACTGCATAATATACTTGCAAGATAACTACCGGTCCCCCAACAAATGCCCCTCAACAAAGGTTCCATCATTCATGACAAACCCCTTTACAAGACAGGCTAATTAAATATCAGTTAATCTGTACTAACTCATACTATCATTTTGGACCCAAAAAAAAACCACTCATACTATCATTAGTTAGCGAGTAAAAAGAACATTAGAAACAGTAACATCAAGGTCTCGTACTAAGACTAAGGTTTAGCTTATCTCAGTATTTAACGCAACTGCTACGATGCAAACAGGGTTAAGCAGAGTGAACTATGCAATGGATAATCATTACCAGACCGGCTGAGATAAGGATCAAAGTCGTTGACAAGATGTCAACCATTGATAATTGACTTGCAATGATGAGCTATAGCTTCATAAATGGCGCCTTCCTCAATAAGATTTTTTATGGATAACTTGCAAAACCAGAACCTGCGTCAACATAGTCCTGCTAAGCAACATAGAAGGGGAAGGAGGGAGGATAAGTAGACAGACATGAACTTATCCAGAGGAAGTCCAAGATGCTCTGCACATAAGATCCCGAGAGACACCCTCCTCTTTTGCCCTGAAGCAACAGAAAGATAAAGTTAAGTAATGGACCAAATTTTGCAAGTACAAAATTAAAAAAAAAAAAAAAAAAAAAGAGCATATGTGAATAATAGGACAATAACACAGAATATAATCATAAGGAAAATTTGAAGACTATAAGTTGTTACAACCGTATAACACAGAATATAATGATAAGGAAAATTTGAAAACTATAAAAGGTTACAACCATATGCACCTTAGGAAGCACTGGAGGGAACACTTCAATTTTAAGCAAAGCTTATGCATGTCAACCTGGCAATATATGATCAAATGTATTGCCTCACAGCTTAATTCTAATTCTTGCCTAACCCGATGTAATTCTCATGTCTTGATATTGCATGCCCTTGTCAAGTTTCTTTTATTTGCTTCAAAAGGAAGATTTAAATTATTTTCAAGCAGCCATCTGGAAGAGCCTATAATCTAGAGATTAGTCTTGTTCTCTCTTTCCCCGGCCCCCCGGGGTAATTGTCTCAGTTTTCTTTTCCCTCTTTTCCCCATAGGGGGGGGGGGGAATCAAGGATACATCTATCCACCCAGGAGGGCAACAGAGTTGGCCACATGTTCAATAACATTAACTATTAAACATACACAAATCACATTCTAGAATTACCTGTTCGAGGGAAGGTGCAAGATATCCAAGACCCTATCTTCAACACTCTTCTGACCATTGATGTGCTGACCAGAGAACTAGGAAGGACCAAAAAAAAAAAAAAACACAAACAAACAAAACAAAAGGATTACATCAAATAAGATATTAATAAAATGGTCAAAAATAAATTTATCATTTATAAAGTCCTCTCACTTGATTTGAAGGGGCAGCTAGATGTGGGATTAATAGGTAAGGAATTGCTCAGAGATTGCTGATTCGGCACACTATTCTGTAAATTTTATGGTGTAGGATAAGAAAATTAAAAAATAAAATAAAAATAATGGAGAGCACAATCATGCGTGAATTGTATATGCACGTTTATGTCATGTCAAACCCAGATATAATCTGCAATATTCTAAACTGATACCTGCACCCTGGTATTATAGAGATGGACGTATATACAATCAACGAAGGGACTTGCAATCTCGTTAAAGTCGTTCAAAGACCTGGAAACAACACCAGTGTAGAGTTCAAAAGTCCGAAACAAGGACCAAACAAATACTATAGAACTTTGTTAATGTCAAAATAATAGCTATAAAACCATTATAAAAGTGTTCACAGAGAATTAATGATAACCAGAGAAAGTCATTTAAATAAAACCTTCCATATCGAACGATGTTAACAAGTTGAATTTAAAAAAAAAAAAAAAACCAAAAGAACGCATAGAGAAATCCCAGGAAGTGATTCAGATGAAGATTAAACAACTAACAAAATAACAGCTTGGTCTCATCATTTACTCAATGAAGTGATCGTTAACCCATTTACACTTATAATTATAGGATTAGCCATCCAAGTCACATAATTTTGTAGATTTATAGCGGAGGGCAAAGTGACAGAAAGAAGGTGTATTGGTTGGACTATTCATCCTACCCAATTTATTACTGCCGTAGAGATTTGTCTCAAAAAGAAAAAAAGGTAGAAACAGGGAACTAGAGCTGAAACCAACAGACTGGCCAATTGTACAAGGGTTTAGTGCATGAAGGGTTGTTGGCTTAAAAAAAAGAAAATGCATGAAGGGTCAGAGGGTGGTTGAGGAAGCGGATGGAAGAAACTATATAAGAAGGAAACCTGCCACGGTAAAAAGGGGAACAGAACCTTTAAGATAAAAGTCAGGTAGTAAGCTAGACTCTCGAAAGGGAGCACCGGTCTTGTGCCATTATCATCTTGTTCATTTCTTCTCTTGTTCTGCCTGCTCTTATAGTGCCCAGATTGTTCTGCTATCTTACTAATTTCTCATGCTGAATGAAGGAGTCCTAGCCAGCTCGTCTCAGAGCTTCTGGTTTGCATTTGTGATTGGTCTGGAGGTGTGTAACTGAAGTGTTTGCTTGGTCAGTCACATTTGACCGAATCTTGGTGGCACTAGCATGTGTCCGTATTGGACAGTGAATTGGTTGCTGTAAGCTGTCCAAGGACTACTTCTGCTTCAATGTCAAATATAAGTGTCTTGCAGTGTTCTCTGTGTTATTCTAGCAGGATTTAGCAAGGTTCCTATCATATGCATTTCTCAAAACCCAAACACCTTCACTATAGGCCAGCACTCTGACAGTATTACACATAGAAGAACACAAAAAATACTGAACTCCTAAACTTGAATAATTAGACTTGATATTAATGGCACACCTAAAAGAGAATGCGTTTAAGGTCCTTTTCCCCTGAAAACCCTTCAAATGTCCATGTAAACGCGCATACATTCCATCCCTAAAACCAAAAAAAAGAAAAGGAGTTGTTATATTTCATGAAATGAAATAAACGACCCGTTCAAAAAGAGGTGGCAACTAGAAACAATAACTTTACAAAGCATCGCACTGCATAATGGCAAATAATGTTTGGACATGTAATGTTCTGAAATTCTGATTAGCAAGAAAATTACCAACTCATAAATCTATATTCATTGTGTCAAGTTACAATGCTTAAAGGTTTGATCACAATGATCACGTAGCCTAGAAAGTTTGTTTAAAGAGGAGACTAATGAAAGAAATGAAAAAGGTTATGAAACTAAGAAATTATTAAAAAACAAATCGGTAAGCGAATACAGCATTAGACATAAGTAACAAAATTACCTGAGACCCTCCGCTTCATTGGTGTCTACATCTTCCTGAAGCCTGCACATGCAAAATTACTTGTCACTGTGAAAATTTAAAAGACCAGAAAAAGTAAACTGAAGGAAAAAAAAAAAAAGAAGAAGCAAAACATCAACAAATAAAAAAATCACCATTTACTGCACCCAATCTTTCCAGCCCCATCATCTAGTACAAAAGTAACATCAGTAATCCTTCCAGCTTTGTTGCACACCCTTCCTACAAGAGTGGCCTAAATACGATTTTAACTCAAACTATCAGAACAAGAGAAAAGAAGACCACGGCCAACGGTCGATTTGCAATTCAAAACATTCACATTATTAACATACACGCCGTCAATAATCATATTAGACTTATCATCACTTGACTGAAATGCATCTTTTATCTACTTGACCGTCAGAGGAAGCAATGACTGAGCATCACGATTCTGCAAAAAGAGAAGTATTGAGTCGGTTCATTAGTTGACTTCAACAGTAACGAAGATATCTCAAACTATAATTTTCAACAATATTCCAAAATGTAATCAAGCCAAAACGCAGAAAAACCATGTGATTGCTAATTGCTCATAGGAATTTAAAATAAATAGAATTAAACAGATTAGATTGAATCAACTGTCGCAGTTCGGTTATTAGCAAACCAAAGCACTAATCGCTCTTGCCAGAACATAAAAACAGTAGGCGAAGAACATAGTTTCGCTGCTACGTCAAATTGCGGGACTATGAAGACGACGAAAAACTAAAAAGGAAAAATGAGAAAGAAAGAGCGAGACAGATAAAAGAAGTACGAGAAAATATGGATCTTGGAGTAGGAGAAGGAAGGCTCATGGCCTTGAGGTCCCGTTTGGTAGGAAGCGTTGAAAATGAGAGATTGGGATTGAAATTATAATTGAAAAAAATCATTAAAATAATACTTAGTATGAGTAATTATTTGTTATATGGGATTAGGCAAACCCATAAAGGTGGGATTGGGGAATACCACTTCCCCCCATGGTATTCTCCAATCCCACATATATAGCTTTGGCTAATCCCATATATCAAACAATCTTTTATACTAAATACTCTCTTGATAGATTTTCTCACTTGTAATCCCAATCCCTCATTTTCAATGCTTCCTACCAAACGTAACCTGAGTGGCTGAGACGGCATAAAACCACCGCCGGAGAAGGCTGCGGCGCCGTCGAACTCGCTCGAATGCATGCTTGTCTGGCTCTGCGTGCAGTTCGGCAATCGAAGAACTAATAGCAGAGAGTAGCAAGACAGAAAGCACTGTTCCAGAGGTTTGAAACTGAAATTTCTATGGAGCATCTGAAACTGGCGTGGTTTTAAACTTTTTTTATACGAAAACGGATGAGTTTCGTGCCATCCTCCTTACGCTGAAGTCTGCCCTGAACTTGCTCGCGCGGTCTTGTGTGTTAGGGAGAACTGCTAGAAGCATAAATGAGTCAATGCCGAGTTTTTGGGTAGTGACTGAGAACGGTTCATTATTTATTAATAATTATCTTTTTTAGATCTCATTATAATTCTCTTTATATTTTTACCTCTTTTCTTTGGATAAAATTAAAATATTCCCTATTTAAAAAAATGACTAAAAAAATTAAAATTAGTTTTTTGGTCTTTTTATTATAATGCTATTCCTCCGGTCTTAAATATAAGACTCATTTTGTAATATAAATTACATTATAAAATGGATCTTATATTTAAAAATTTTGTAATGTAAATTACATTATAAAATGGATCTTATATTTAAGACCGAAAGAATACTATCTTATTCCACTTGTATATTTTTTTTATGACTTAAGTAGTATACATTGCCTCTTACTTTTTAAAAAATCACGTAGAAGTAATATGCATTTTGATATTTTGCGCATTCCCTATTCTAATCTCAAATTCTTTAGATTAATTTTTTCATTAATAATATTTTATTTTAACCATAATTTTGAATCAATTAAACTCGATCTCTAGTATAATGTGTATATATATTGTTATCATATTTTACTTTTTTTCTCTTTTTACTTCAAATTTATAACTTTCACCTTTTTCTTTGTGCCAGATCACCTTATTATTTTGTAACTTACCTCTCATATCATTATTATTGTTTCTAGGGAAAATTAATCTTTTGGTCCCTATAGTTTTCGCTCATTTGTAACTCAGTCCCTATACTTTGACTCGGTGCAACTCAGTCCCTCTAGTTTTGACTCAATTGTAACTTAGTCCTTGAAATTTGACTCGCTGCAACTTGATCCCTATAGTTTTAACCATTTTATAATTTAATCCCTCCTTTTATTATATATATAATTTTATTTTTCAAAAACACAAGAACTAAATTATAAAATAGATAAAACTATAGGGACCGAGTTGCAGCGAGTCAAACTTCAAGGACTGAGTTACAAATGAGTTAAAACTAGAGGGATTGAGTTACACCGAATCAAAGTATAGGGACTGAGTTACAAATGAGTAAAAACTATAGGGACCAAAAGATAAATTTTCCCTTGTTTCTATTATATTTATTTCCTTGTTATCATAACTTCCAACTTGGTTAAAATTGTATGTTATTTTAGGATATGAAGATGTTTTGAAGACGAAAATGCTCATATTGGATAGTTGATACCCATGTCAGTGATTTATTAGGTGGAAATAAAATTGGCAAGCCCGGCCTTCAATTAAATCTTGACTTTTGAAAAGCCAACACTTTAAACTAGCTCTTATGACCACTTCTAGGGAATTTCATTTTTTTTTTTTTTGACCAGACTAGGGAATTTCATTTGAAGTTTTGTTTTGTGACTTATTTAATCATAAACAGCATCTTAGTGTAGTGAAAATGACCAATGGCCAGTTAGGAGCTGTCTATATTTGATTATCTTCGCACAAGTGTCAATAAAAATCCCGAATTTCAGTACAATAAGGTGTGAAAAGACCTTGGTCATGGGATGGGCAATTTGGCATGATGATTCGCATATTGTTTTTTTTTTTTTTTTTTGAGCAAATGATGATTCACATATTGACGATGTCAGAACTCATCTTTTAAATATATAGTAAGCCCCCATGCAAATTGCAAGAAATAAATTCAAAGGGAGAAAGAAATGAAATTAAAATAACGTGGTTAAAACATATATTTCAACCTTTAACTTTATATAAAATTTCAATTTGATCTTTTAACACTAAGAAATATATATTTAGTTCTTTGATTTTAAAATTATTGAGCTTAAATAATTATTTTTTAATAATAATCATGATTGTTTTAAAAATTAAAATTAATTTATTAGCATTTAAAAATATTTTATTAATATTTAAGATCTCAATGTCATCATTTTTTGTTAATAACTTTAGAGCTAAAGAACTAAAATATATATTTTTAAATTAAAAAAACTAAATTGGAACACTCTATAAAATTAAATGATTAAATATATATTTTAACTAAACAATGGAGTGCACATAATATGGACAGCTTGAATTTTATAATTTTATTATTATATGTGATCCATGTTCATAAAACAACAAAGTTTTACATTGGCGATAAAGAGCTTAACATAACTCTTCTTATTTATCTGGCTTGAGAGAAGTTGAATAAGATCTTTTAGCTAATAACTTATCTCAAAATATAGTTGTTGATATAACACAATAACATCCACGTAGCTAATCTCATATAATGAGATCATACTTATTGTTGTATTATTATTGAGTTATATAAACAATCTTGTTTGAAAAATCCTAATTATTGAAAAGTATTAAATTTATCAAAATCAAATGCAAATATAGTGTGGATTTTTTTTTTCAAGACCAGGTAATCCGAGAAACATTACAGGGAGAATCTCACCAAAAATTATTTTTAAATTTTAAAATTTCAAATCAAAGTTGTTTACTATACTTTAATACTCTTCCGGTCCTTAATATAAGACCCATTTAACTAATTTGATTAGATTAAGGAAGTTAGGTGAGTTAGTTAATTATAAGAAAAGTGACACATTTTTCTTAAAACACCATAATCATCTTTTTTAATACCCCATCTCCCTCTTCTATTTGATTATGGTTGAGGGAGTATCTATAGGGGTAATTTAGAGAAAATAGATAAATATGATAAATGAGTCTTATATTTAGGACCAAAACCAACTCAAGAATTGGGTCCTATATTAAGATCGGAGGAGCAATAATTAACAATATTTAAAAAAACAAATGACATTTGCGTAGTTATTCCTGACTTGAAATTTTAAATTTTAAAGTATTTTTTTGAAATTCTTCTAGCATTATAAACCGCAAAAGATAAAAAAGAATACTGATTAAGAAAAAAAGATAAGCATTTAATCATTGTCCTGCCTGGTCCCGCGGCACCATTTCTGGATTCTGAAGCCAAGTCTCCGAGGGAGTACGTGTTTTTTTGGTCTTTTCTCTGCATCTCTGGCAGGGGCTCAAACTGTCATCACTTGAGTGATATGGTGGCTAATCTATTTACAGACTGAAATTACATTAAAATAAAATCCGGAAATAATTCTTAAAATCTGGTGACTGACTCCAACAGCCAAATATTAACACATTTTGGGATCCTCTTAACAACAATGTAGATACTTATTTGACTCTTAAAATCTCTCAAACAACAATTCAAATTATTCAATAATAAGAGAAGGAATTAAGGAAAAAAGGGACTGTGGTACAGGCCGATAGAGCAGAAAGAGAGAGAGAGAGAGAAAGACGGAACTGGATTTTAGTTATTCAATAATACCTCCTGTACAATAGTAACTGTACTTACATGGTAAAAGTAAGAACTGAATCTGTTACAATCTGTTTCGTCTAACAGAATGACAGCTAAGAGGCATATGCTAGTAAATCCTGATAATACCACGTATCAATTACTCCCCCCCTAAAGAATATCCTTGTCCACAAGGATCGCGTTGGCAGGAGACGCAGAAGTGTCAAAGTCAGGGAATTGCAAACGAATAAAGGAGAGGTCCTCCCACGTAGCGTCTTCTGGTCGAGCATGGCGCCATTGAACCAAGATTTGAGTGACTGGCAAAATACCCTTTTTTGTGATCTTAAATCCCAAAATAGCAATAGGCTCCACAGTAATCTGCCCGTCGTCGTCCACCAGTGGTAAAACAGGGGAGACTGAGTGGCCAGTAGGAGATGAACGCTTCAATAAGGAAACGTGAAACACGGGGTGGATATGAGACCCGGTTGGCAATTCAATCTCATAAGCAACCTTACCCACTCGTTTAAGCACCTTAAACGGACCGAAGTATCGAGCCGCTAGTTTATGTAAGGACGAATTGTTCAGCAGATTCCTTCGAAAGGGATGCACCTTTAAGAACACCATATCCCCAACAGAGAATTCTCGATTAGTTCGATGCTTGTTAGCCTGGTGTACCATTCGATTCTGAGCTTTCAACAAGTGCTGCTTCAGGAGTTGAATTGTCGTTTCGCGGGAGAGACAAACGCGATCAACCATATCGTTATTGGAATCACCAGGTAAGTAAGGCAAATGGGTGGGTGGCGCGACACCGTATACCGCCTGAAAGGGGGTCATACCTATAGCTGAATGATAAGTGGTATTGTACCATAGCTCCGCCGGTGATAGCCACTTAACCCATTGCTACGGGAAATCACCGGTCATATAGCGCAAATAGCATTCAAGGCAACAGTTTAAGACCTCCGTCTGACCGTCAGACTGGGGGTGATAGGCTGAAGAAAACTGAAGCTTGACTCCTTGAAGGCGAAATAATTCCTTCCAAAATTTTCCGCAGAAAATGGGGTCCCTATCCGTGACAATAGATTTCGGGAATCCATGTAACTTCACAATATTGTCCATAAAGACTTGCGCAACATCTACAGCAGTGTATGGGTGTTTCAAGGCAATAAAGTGAGCTGCTTTACTGAGTCGATCCACAACCACTAAAATGGTGGTTCGAGAGTATGATTTTGGAAGACCCCCAATGAAGTCTATTGATAGCTCTATCCAAATATGATCCGGGACAGGTAGGGGTTGAAGCAACCCCAGAGAAGTGACCGTCTCATACTTGAACTGCTAGCAGATTGTACAATTCCTGACAAATTCATAAACATCACGTTCAAGGCCCCTCCAATGAAAAACAGAGGAAATTCGTTTATATGTAGCCGTCGCTCCTGAGTGTCCCCCAGTTGCATCACTATGGAAGTAAGATAGAAGTTCGGTCCGAAGTCGCGATCAACACCGACAACCAAATGACCCTTCTGTTTGAGTAATCCATTGGACCAAGAAAAAACAGGGTGCGACGTAGGGGCACATTCCAACTCAGCAATAAGGCGTTGAACCTGATCATCTGTAGCCCAAGACTTCTGTACCTTATCATATAAGTCAGTCATAGGTGCTGTGATTGCTACGATAAAACCATCATGTTGTCGGGAGAGAGCGTCAGCTGCTAAATTCTCTTTGCCCCGACGGTATTCGATGTCATACGTCAATCCCCATAACTTGTTTACCCACTTGAGCTGATCAGATGAGACCGATTTTTGCTCCAGTAAGTGTTTGAGAGGAAGGTGGTCAGTGCAAATCGTAAAGGGGTGACCCACAAGATAAGAATGCCATTGTTTAACTGCAAATACAATGCCATAAGTTCTCGTTCATAAGCGGACATGGTGCAACCACGAGGATTGAATCCCCTGCTTGCAAAAGCGATAGGGTGGCCTTGCTGACTTAACATAGCTCCCATTCCTGATCCTGAGGCGTCAGTCTCAATGATAAATCGTTCGACGAAGTTAGGAAGTGCTAAAACTAGAGGGGAGGTCATAGCGCGTTTTAGAGCCTCAAAGGCATTGGCTGCCGCGGCATTCCACTGAAACTTAGAATCATGCCGTAACAAGGCAGTCAGTGGTTGGCATATTACACCAAAATTCTTAACAAAACGTTGGTAATATCTAGCAAGGCCGAGAAACACCCGTAATGCACGTATTGTATTTGGAGTAGGCCAAGACGTAATTGCCGCAATTTTCTGAGGGTCAGCTTCAACACCTTTAGCAGAAATGATATGCCCAAGATAATCGACTTTTGTTGAGCCAAAATTACACTTACTGGCTTTCACATAAAGCTTGTTTTCACGGAGGACAGTCAACGTAGTGGATAAATGTTGCAAATGAATCTCCCAGTTAGAGCTGTAGACCAGAATATTGTCAAAAAAAACTAGAATAAATTTCCGTATGTAAGCCTTAAAGACAGAGTTCATCAAGCTCTGGAAGGTAGCTGGCTCGTTTGTCAGACCAAAGGGCATCACCACAAATTCGTACAAGCCCTCATGAGTTTGAAATGCCGTCTTATGAATATCGGGTGGGTATATTCGAATCTGATGATACCCTACTCGCAGATCCAGTTTCGAAAAGTAACAAGCTCCCTGTAATTCGTTGAGAAGTTCTTCAATGAGGGGAATGGGGAACTTGTGCTTAATCGTTTGGTCGTTCAATCGTCGATAGTCGACACAAAATCGCCAAGTCCTATCTTTTTTATGAACTAAAACTACTGGAGCTGCAAATGGACTCTGACTGTTGCGAATAATTCCCGTGTGAAGCATTTGTTGCACCTGACGCTCAATCTCATCTTTTTGGACAGGACCATAACAGTACAGACAACAGCTGATAGGTTGTGGCTGTTTAAGATGGATTTGATGATCCAAAGCTCGTGGTGGAGGCAAGGATTTGGGTTCCTCAAAAATGTCCTGGAAAGAACAAAGGATTGCCTCCAGCTGCATCGTCTGCGAATTTGTCAGAGAAAGCGCACTATTAACGGCTAGAAAAGCTAAGGAATCCATAGAGTATGAATAAACAAGAAACAGATGTGGCGCCTTGCGTAATAATCCGTCATCAATGGGCTGCTCGGTTAAAGTGGGCTTCAAGGAACCCATGCCAACGATCTCAAAATAGCGGCCCTGGTAATTAAAAGCAATTAAGTGCTTGTCCATATCCAATATAATACGGCCCAACTTTTTAAGCCATTGGACTCCTAAAATTAGATCAAAGACACCTAGATCCATAACCAAGAAATCATCAACAAAGGACAAGTTAGCCATGGACCATGTTAAGGAACGACAGTACTTATCGACCAAAATCTGACGCCCTCCACCCACGTTGACACGCAATGCCTGGTCAGTTTGAACAGGTAGCTTTGACCGTTTGGCTAGTGACGAATGCACCACGTTATGCGTGCTGCCCGTATCAATTAGGATGATCACTTTCTGTTTCTTAATATAACCTTCAATCCGCAAAGTCGAATACCCCTCATTACCTTCTACGGCGTTAACGGTGGCAGTTGGTAGGGAATTCGAGTCCAAGGTATCCACAGCATCTGCGAATTCATCATCTTCTTTGTTAGGTATCACAAGCATCATTAACTGAGATTCTTTGCACTTGTGAGAAGAAGAATATTTGTCATTACACCAATAACAGAGGCCTTTTCGACGCCTCTCTTCTATTTCCTTCTTGGACAATGTCAATGAAGGTTTCTTATCCGACGAAACCGTAAAGGAGTGAGAGGAAGGGGAAGAAGATACTGAAGCCTTAGAAGGCATCGCTCGACCACTTGAAAAATAAGACATAGGAAGAAGTGTATTAGCGCACGATGTCCCTGGAGATGGGCAAGAAACAGAGGCAGCATCATACATCGCGCGGAGTGAACGTTCCTGCATTCTTGCCATTTGCATCATACTAGCCAAACTAGAGGGTCGAAAAGCAATCACACAGGATTGAATATCAATACGTAATCCTCCTAAGAAGTAGTTCCTCGCAACCTCATCAGGAACATCAACATCGGTCAGCAAATCATCAAAAGCTTCTATGTATTCATCGACGGAGGAGTCTAGTTGCTGTAACTGTTTGAGTTGGACCATTGGGTTGATGTGTTTAATCTTAGTGAAACGGACTTCCATTTGAGCGAAACAATCATCCCAAGCAACGTCACTCTCAGTACGCCTCCTCATAAAGTTGAGGTGCCATTTAAGAGCTTTCCCTTCTAAATGAATGCTTAACAGCCTGATACGTTGATCTATCGATTTACTATCCACAGTAAAGAACTGACGGCATCTATACGACCAACCTCGGAAGTCCGAACCATCAAAGTGGAGAAATTCAACTTGACTCTGTTTCGTCGGTGGAAAATAGGACTGAGATGCTTGGTGAAAGGTCCCAAACTGCACATGCTTACTTCGATTAAAGCTGCTCAATGATCCGCCATTCTGGTCTCCTTGACCTTGATGAACCAGTGTTGCAATTGTGCCGCTTAGATCTTGTAGACATGCCTCAATTCGGCTCATGGAGCTCTTCAAATCAGCTATATCAATTGCGTGTTGTTCCAGACGAGCTCGGCCATTTTCGACCATCGCTGCATTCAGCTCAAGGCGTTGTTCTAAATCATGGAAGCGATCGCCCGATCGAGTCTCCTGAGCCATTGCTAGAGACACGGCTCTGATACCAAGTTGGTACCGGCCAATAGAGCAGAAAGAGAGAGAGAGAGAAAGAGAGAGAGAGAGAAATGGATTTTACTTATTCAATAATGCCTCCTATACAATAGTAATTGTACTTATATGGTAAAAGTAAGATCTGAATCTGTTACAATCTGTTTCGTCTAACAGAATGACAGCTAAGAGGCACGTGCTAGTAAATCCTAATAATATCACGTATCAGACTGCTAAAGAAATAATACTACTAATCAATCTATCTTCCGTTGCTTCCTCCTCCCAACATAAGTCTGCCTGGGCTTCTTATTGATTTCTTTACCTACAAAAACACAGAAGTAAAACTGTTAACCATAAAGTCTTCCTAAAGAACAAGGTAATTAAAATAAACAATAATCTAGTAACTCTTTTTCCCCCTTAAAACTAAAACATTAATCAAATTTAACTCTTAAAATTGGTGCAAATTGAGATAGTTTCAAGAAGCTAACAATACTTGGTGGTGGTGGATGCTCCATTTGTTCATCAAATGACTCATAATACTTCAAGTACACAGCTATCCTTTTCATAGTGTACCCGTTACCAAAAGCTACAATCACCTCAACTTGGTCATCTGAGTCAAGATTTGATATTGTTTCCTTCAACTCTGCTTCTTTAAATGAAGTCAGTGAATCTTGCCTGTAGTGTAGAGCAGTTGTCTTTGTATAATTTATGATTGTTAGGCTAATACAAGATTCACAAGCTTTGTTACCCAAATCAAATGAAGGGAAATATGCACAACAGATAATCATCCCATTCAAATCACAGCTGCTAACTTGAGGCACTCTGAATTTCACAGAAGCTCTTTCACTTTTGAAACTTTGCCAATAGGGATAATTGTCACCGGGAAGGACACAGTCATCACCATAATTCTTGGTAGTCAATCCCTGCTTAATAACACAAGCAGCAGCTTAATTCAACTATATAATTGGGCAAGCATATATTAGAATTGACATTCTCTTCTTTTCAACCAAAAGGCCAAAAAGAAAACGAATTGAAAAGAGAACCTGTGAGATATTCTCTAGAAGAGTAGCAGTGACTTGGTCCATATTTCCAATCTGAATTAAAAGATGTCTCAAGCAATTTTCTGATCTTGAGGTGTGACCAGATAACAGAGAAGATTCAATCTCTGAGATTTTTGAAGTATTTGGTACTGTTGCCTTGTCCATGCAAATTCTGGCACGGGAGGACTTCAGAATTTTTGCGGCACCTCGAGTAAGTTCAGGGTCATTCTCTGATGTGATTTTCAAAAAAAGGCCTTGCAGCTTTGATTGGTTGTCACAAATAGATTTCCTTTTCAATATGTCTGAGGAAATTATCATGCCCCCATATGTTGAGATAAGAGATAACGGATTATTTGCTGGGGACATCCATGACCAAATGAGAGAAGGAAACACATCCCTTGACAATCCATTGTAGCCACAGAGAGATATAAATCCAAGATTTTTTAACCTGACTAAAGAATAGGGAACTTGTCTTATTGCAGTCTCATAAGCAACCAGAGTTGTCAAGGAATCCATTTGCTCTATATCTTCTTCTAACCTTTCAATCATTGCACAACCAGCTAGAATAAGAGTTTTTAGTGATTTTAAATTATAAATACTTCTTGGGAGAGTGCGAAGGCTGGTGCAATTCTTCAGGTTTATAAGGAGGAGTTTGTGGGCACGTCCGATGGTAGTATGAACCATGCGCAAATTTTGACAATTTTTAAGGACTAGCTTTTCAAGATTTGGAAGTTTTGTGAAGTCAGGAGTCTGCATCAAGTAAGGGGAGTGACTACAATTGAGGATTTTTAGCTTGTCCAAAATCTGCAAGAAAAAAACATTCAAGGGAAAAATTAGTGAAAAACCCATAAAATAAAGTAACTGAACAACCATGAATGTTTGAAAGTGTCTCCCACGAATTTTGGTATTACCATTAAAGGCAAATTCTAAAGCATATCTATTGGAGTAAAAATAAGCGTGCAGGCATTTAAAGGCTTGAAAACTAGTTCAATATTTGGTAGGTCTCATAAAACAGTGTTTTACATCTTATAAAAGAACAAACTAATCAGATAATGCTAAGTAAAACATCGAGTGCTTTATTTTATGGGTTTATATAACCCAGTTTGGAAGAAAGTATGCATGATTTTGACATTCCACCAACAGTTTTGATCAACTTCTATAAACATTGATTAACCTCTATAAAATCTCCCATCTCAGAAAAAGTATCTGTTCCAAAACACTTCAACTGAAATGACTGCTTTAATTAGCTAGATGTGGAATGGCGAGTATCTATAACACCGAACATAAAAAAGAAAGTAAATTGAAGAAAAATTAAGCACCTATGTTCAAGAATAGTGATGAACTAAGCTTCATCCAGAAGCTGTTATTAGAAAAGTCTGAAATAACGACCCATCTGGAAGTTTTGCAGTAAAACAAAATCTAATAATGAATAAACTTTATTCCTGATGCCAACAAACGGAGCATACATACCTCGGGTTCCCTCCAAACTTGTCTGAGGCTACTGTGCTTTAACTCGATAGCAACTAAATTTTTCTGATAAAAATTGGCAGGGATGCATTCCAAAGGAAAGCCATGCCATCTAAGCCATCTGAGATCTCTACTAATGTGTCCATAGTCTCCATCAATATCCACATTACTAAGATGGAGCAATCTGAGTGACTTCATCTCCTCAAATGCTTTGGCAGAGAAACAGTCTTTATCTGTTTGCGACAAGTTCAAAGCTAGCCCCTCGACAAATGCTGTACCCTGCAAATAAATTGCATATAAAATTTAAAGTTTGTACCTCTATTACTGATTTACTGAAAGGCAAAATGTAAACCCATTTGACAAGCAAGTTTTTAGAGCAAATAAACAATGAATTTTAAAATGCGTGATTTCTGCCCAGGAGTAAAATTAACTACAAATATACCTACTTATCCAATTGATTCACATTCAATTGCCTTCCCATGCCATTTTACGTTTTGGAAAGAATGATAAATATAAGATAGGAAAGTCCATACAGTATGTTTTGATAAGACATCATGCACATCTTTATGAAACCATAATCTACTACGCTTTCCGAGCTCTTTTGGCGATCGTTCTCGGATTATCTCCCTCCCCATATCACGCAGCAAACCATGCATGCCAAGCTTGTTCTTCTCATCAACAGTTACAAGGCTCCGCTCCACAAGGTCACTTATTCCTATGTCTGGAAAAAGTCCACAATAATCCAATATCTGTGTGACATCACTCCTATCCATCCCAATAAAGAAGCAAGATATATCAAGGAAGATTTCTTTCACCAGATCATTACTTAAACCATCAAAGCTTATTCTTAGCTTCTTTTGTATCTCATCTTTGGGGATTCTTTTTAATTTGTGCAGTACACTTTTCCACTCTCTCATTTCCCTGTCAAATAAATGAGAACCTAAGACTTCAAGGACTAGGGGTACTCCTCCAGAATAAGCAACTATATTTCTAGAAAGTTCAATGAAACCTGTTTTAGGACATGGTTGCTTAAATGCATGCCAACTAAAAAGCTCAATGGATTCACTTTGGTCCATATTCTTCATTGTATATAAATGATCCACGTTAAGGAGTTTGAGCAACTGCTTATCTCTAGAAGTGATAATTATTCTGCTTCCTGGACCAAAGCATTCACGACTTCCAAATAAAGCATTTAGTTGCTCAACCTCATTCACATCATCAAGTACAAGAAGTGCTCTCTTATGGCAAAGGTGTTCCTTCAATATGATTTTTCTTGAATCAATGCTACGCATTGCGCTCATTTTTGTTTTACAGATTTCTGAAAGAAGTTGATGCTGTAACTGTACTGGACCATTGTCTTGCCCCCAAACTTCCCCAATGTTTGACAGAAAACATCTGCTCTCAAATGTTCGACCAATTTCATTATAGAAGGCTTTGGCAATAGTTGATTTACCGATGCCCCCAATCCCCCCTATCCCTAGCAGGAGAACATCATTCATTGAATCGCTTTCTGATATTTTAATCAAATCTTGCAAAGAAGAGTCCACTCTAACAAGATGTTCAGCAATAGACAAGTCTTTCTTGTCCAATATTTTACGAACATGCTCAACAATTTTCTTGATATCCTCACTTTCATTCCTGAATCATAAACAAATAAAACAGAAAATGAGCATCAATAACATAAGCATGAGTAGAGAAAAAAAAATTGTCAAGCTATTAAAGGTAACATGTCATAATTAGAGCAGACATTATGAACAAACTAAATAGAAACCATACTGGAAACTATAAGACTACAATACCCAGTCAAACAAAAGATATGTCGATTCGACCAAATTCAAAGCAATAATTTAAAACAAAACATAACATCATTTATGCTTATGAAATCGCTATACTTAAAAAATGAAAAAAAAAAAAGATTGTTGGCTAGCTAATAATAGACTCAATATCTGACTTCAAATTAAAACTTCCAGTCACTTGTCAGAACTGCACCCTAGTATGCTGATTGCATATAGGTATCAATATAACAATTTTGTGTTTGCTTTATCAAAAAGAAAACTTATCTTTATAACGTATTGCTGTTGTTATCTGTTAGAAATACATAAAATCTTCTCATTTTCAACATTACAAATGATTTGCTGGCAAAAAAGAAGGTAATTTATAGAGAACTCCTTTTTATTCTCAAAACTTATATAAACTCCTTTCAAATCAAAAGTTGTATGCTAGAGTTTATTTCTATTTCCCTAACTATGATATGCTAGTTAAATAGCATTCATTGGACTAAAATATCATTTATTAACATGAATGCTACTAAAAAATCATTCATGTTGCATAAAACGATTTAAATATATGTATTTTTAAACTTTTTTAATCACGTTCTAATATTTTCAGTTTCGTAAACTTATTTCAGTAATTTTTAAAATTTGAAAACAAAAGTTGTCTATATTAATATTTTAAATATATGTACAAAAAATTAATGAATTAGAAGTTTAATATATTCTGGTTAAAAAAAAAAGAAGTTTAATATAATGAGAATGAATTAGTCAACATAATTAGAAAGGAAGAAACCGCTTACAAAGGTCTATCATGATAGAAAGATTTGGCCAAAACACTTAAATAATAACAATGGTAGAAAAATATCAACCTTATAATTAAGTTTATTATGGTTATAAAAGATTCTACTAATCATTCTAAAAAAAATTAATCATAATAGAAAAGGATAAAATTAATCGAATAAAAGTTTACCACCTCATTAGGATTTATCATCCATAATAAAAAGAATTAAAGCTCTACTATGATTGAAAAGACTTTACCATAACCAACAAGGGTTGGTCTGGTGGTGGAAGGGACTAATTTTTTACAACATGGCAAACTAAGATTTGAATACTTATTGGAAGATGTGATTACATTTAGTGCCTAATAGTGTCTTGAATAAAATTACTTTCAATAGGAAAATATCTATGTATAGCAAAAGAAAAGATTCTACCATGGTAATAAAATATTTAGCCTCCTCATTAAGACAATATAATTTCAATACTTAAAATTGGGATTCCAAAGTCACAATTATGATTTCAGTACTTAAAACTGGGATTCCAAAGTCACAATTAAATCAATATGCAATGGGTTAGGGCGCTTGAACCCCACAATACAATCATTATCACCACAACCCATTGTAATCAACAATATAACATAATGGTCCAAAAACAAAACAATATAACATAACATGAATATTTCCATTCATTTCATTAGCTGAACTACTAGGGCTCAACACACGCTATCAGCGCTATCCAATAATCAAGATAATCACGGGCTCAGGTTCAGCCCACATCAAACCATCAACAAACAGTAAACAGCGAAATAAAGGGCTCTCCCCACAGCACATTCCCAGTATTATTATTAGTAACTAAACAATGAAATATCTCAATTCTTGACCAGGATTTTGTGACTATTATGGAAACACCTGAGTTCGGTGTAGAACAACTTAGGATAGACAGTGGCACGATGCCACCAGTAGCCAGCTTTATAGCGTAGTTTGTTATTTTGGAGTAGGATCTTCAAGCATCTTGTTTGCCTTATGCCAGTATTTAGTTTCCTCCCATCATCATAAATTATATATTTTTAATCAAATCTTTATTTTAGTTAATTTTGTTTTCCTCAAATCAACCATTTAGACAAATCTACTCTTATCAAATTTTAAATTTAACATAATTAGTTCCATAAATATTAGAATAGTCACCTGGAAGCCTCATAATTTTAAAATCTATCAAAAAATTTCATATTTTATAAAATATTTTTTTATTATTGTTTTAAATTATCATGGTTAAAATAACATTTTATTCATAATTTTATAAAATATAAAATCTTGGACGGTTTCAATTTCAACCTTATAGTTGAATAAGAAGTAGAAAAATATATGAAGATTTAATTTGGGGGGCTCCGAGCTCAACACCAAAAAAGGAGAAGTGGATGGTAACATAGTGAAGGACAATAAAAGTAGAGAGACCTTTTGGGAATTAAAAAAAACCCAAAGGCATCTAAGTAGGTGTGTGAACCATGAATAGGTGGGTTTTTTTTTTTTTTAACCCATCGTTCGTGAGTTTAGTAGTAAGAACCACATCCTCTCACCTATGAAGAAAAGAGTTCCATTCCCAGTTGTGGGGCTTGGGAAGGCAACTTGGATCCATTCCTCATAAATACATGAAGATTTAATTTGGAGGTTTTGAGCTTGACACCAAGAAATGAGAATAGAAGTGGAGAGACCCCTTTGTGAATTTAAAAAAAAAAAACAAAAAAAGCCCAAAGGCATCTAAGTAGGTGCGTGAGACATGAATAGGCTGGGTTTTTTTTTTTTTTAACCCATTGTTCATGAGTTCAGTAGCAAGAACCACATCTTCTCACCTGTAAAAGGAGAGAGTTCCATTCCTAGTTGTGGGGCTTGCGAAGGCATCTTAGATCCGTTTCTGGTAAATACATGAAGATTTAATTTGGAGGTTCTGAGCTCGACACCAAAAACTGAGAAGTGGATGGTAAAATAGTGAAGGAGAATAGAAGTGGAGAGACCCCTTTGCGAATAACAAAAAGGCCCAAAGGCATCTAAGTAGGTGTGTGAGACATGAATAGGTGGGTTTTTTTTTTTAACCCATTGTTCGTGAGTTCAGTAGCAAGAACCACATCGTCTTACCTACAAAGGAGAGAGCTCCATTCCCAGTTGTGGGGCTTGGGAAGGCATCTTGGATCCATTCCTGGTAAATACATGAAGATTTAATTTGGGGGTTTTGAGCTGGACAACAAGGAATGAGAAGGGGATGGTAACATAGTGAAGGAGAATAGAAGTGGAGAGAGACCCCTTTGCGAATAAGAAAGAGGCCCAAAGGCATCTAAGTAGGTGTGTGAGAGATGATAGGTAGGTTTTTTTTTAACCCATTGTTCACGAGTTCAGTAGCAAGAACCACATCTATGTAGGTGTGTGAGACATAAATAAGGAGGTTTTTTTTTTTTTTTTTACCCATCATTCGTGAGTTCAGTGGTAAGAACCACATCCTCTCACCGATAAAGGAGAGAGTTCCATTCCTAGTTGTGGGGCTTGGGAGGCATCTTAGATCCAGTGTTTTGGTTAACACCTGGGGATATGTTGTAAGTTCATTCTGCCCAATATTAATATCATTTAGGAGGAGAGGATCAAGCGTCTTGCCCTTCAATTTGATAATTATTTTTTACTTCACCTTTGCCTTTCTTTGGCACTTATCAAATTTGTTTATATGCTCTTGCCTCTTTTCTAAAAACTTTATTTTATTAATTTTTCATTTATTCACCCCTTCATTTCTTAGCTTTAAAGGTATCTAAATCATTTTTTGTAAATCTTTTAAATAGTACATTAATTTACGTATCCTTATTTACCCCTGCTTAACCATATTATTACCCCCCCCCTAAAAATCATGGGTTGAAGGTTAGGTCCTAAAAATTAAATCCCATTCTAAGTAATTTTTCCTTACTCAAATAAATAAATGATAAAATTCCAATTTCTATGAAATAATTTCATCCTAATATTACCTTAATTCCAAAAATCAAAATTGGGATATTATAATTCGTGTCTATTTTACTTTGAATCTTGTAAATTTTAATATAATACTTTTAAATAATGCACGAATCACAAGAGCCGATTAGTCATTTTAAATATCCTAGCATAATTTTAATTAAAAAACCAAACATTTTAAGGAAATATTCTTACTTGTTTTAAAAATTGAACTAAACTAGGTCTTTATAACTTTGGCAAACTAAAAGGAGGTCAATTGTATTCTACCCACACAAAAAAAAAACAAGAAATTACTAGTAACTAATGGTGCCCATTGCAACAAGAATCTGTTTATGTTTATTTGATTAGGCTTAGCAAAATTAAAAGAAATAAAAAGATGAAATATATTAAAAATTACTTGGAATTGAGCACAACAAACCCTGCAATGCCACCAGCTTCACGGAGATCTGTCTTCCACCTCGACTCATCATCTTTTGTGGGTGAGCTTCTTTGAATGAGCAATAGAAATGAAGCTCCAAAATTAGATAGTTGATTACGAACTTCAGACGGATCAACGCCATAAAACACAGGCAAGACTATTTGATCCTCTACTCTGTGAAGCTCCATGATTTTGGAGAGCTCGTCGAGGCACCATCTAGAACCAGCATAATCTTTGGAGAAGATAATGATTGAAATCATAGAACGTTCAATTTCAGGTGGCAATTGGATTGAGACATTATTCCCTCTAGGAAGGTCGGCATCATTTTTGAAAAGAACAATTCCAGCATTGCTTAGAGAGGCATAAAGATGAGAAGTGAAAGATGCCCAAGTGTCTTCGCTTCTGGAGCTCAAGAACACATCATACTCGCTATCAGACTCGCCTGTCCCCGGTTTTCCTAGCAGCAGAGCATCATTTAGTGGATGGCTTTTTGAGATGCTCATCAAATCTTGCATACAAGAGTTCACTCCAACGGGATGGTTAGTAATAAACAGGTCTTTCTTGTCCAATATTTCACAAACACGCTCAACAATATTCTTGATATCCTCACTTTCATCCCTGCGTTACAAAAACAAATATAACAGAAAACGACGTGAATATAATGACATATATACTTCAAAGACTGTCCATTGAGGAGTTTAGAGATGAAAAATTGGACCACAGCAGAAAATTCAATCACGTTCATAGGCTCATTTGTGAACATTTAAACATAAACGATTGAACTGAAGGAACCAGATGGTGCAATTTGCTTTGTTAAGCAAACTAAGATGAAAATATCAAATGATAGTTCATCATATAAAAACATGACAGCTTTGAGATGAATAAGAAGAAGATATGTATTTCGAAGACCATGCGTTCAAGAGAATAAAGATGAAAATTTGGACCCCCGAGAGAACATGCAATGAGGTCCCCATGAAAATGCACTTGGGATTTGGGGAACAGTTAAACAAACGACTGGACTCAAGGGAACATGGGCTATTTAAAAAAGGAACTCGGGAACTCTATGCTGCCATTTCCTCTTACAAGCAGAAAATTTTCATTCTGGACAAGGCAACAATGTGAGAGGATCACCACAAATCACTGGTAGGGAAAGTGAGAATAGACAAAGAGAGATGATGAACCCACACTAAATTGTGAGCCCAGCCAGCGTCTCTATTTTTCCTCACTTTCAACTCTTGTCAGCAAAAGGAATCTGAGGCCATCAGCAATTGACACTGAATTTTCATCCGGTTTAAGATTGGACTCCTTTCGGATGTAACTGAAACAAAGGGTCCCTTTGGTACAAAATAGGACATCGAAAGGGAAAAATCTCTCCCTTGAACTTTTAGAGCTTTATTTACAACAAAGTCATTTGCCATCTACCAAGGTAAACATACTTTCTCTCACCTTCATTTTTTTCAACTGTCTTTTCTACGTGCCAAGTACCAAATGCACCTTAAATTTTATAGGGTACCAATTGAAGGGAGTGATCTTTCCTGAACACAAAATATATTTTATCTCTTGCGCTATTACAGATTATGGCATTTGCAATGCCTTAACAATTTCTTTTTTTTGGCATGGCAATACCTTAACGTTTAAGTCCTTAATTCAAGGTGCAACTTTTAACTCCAGAAAAAGAAATTTGCAGTGGCTGTAAAAATATCATAATTTGAATAATTTACAGCATCATAAGCATAAAAGACGTAAATTTGACCCCAAATTCAAAGCAATAATCTAAAAGAAAACATAACATCATTTGTGCTTGTGAAATCGCTAGCCCATTGATCATATGCTGTTATTTGTTAGACATGGAATTTTCTCATATCCAATATTCCAAGTAATTTGCTTGCAAAAAGAATTACATGGCTAATGGTGCAACTTGCAGCAAGAATTTGTTATTGTGTGTGTCTATTCAGGCTTAGCAAAATTGAAAAGAAATTTTAAAAACAGAATATTTAAAAATTACTTGGAATTGAGCACGACAAATCCTGTAATGCCCCCAGCTTCACGGAGATCTGTCCTCCACCTCGACACTTCATCCTCTATGGGTGAAATTTTATGTATAAGATCTCGAAATGCTTTTCCAAAACTAGAGTGTTGTTTGTGAACTTCGGACGGATCCACGCCATAGAACACAGGCAAAATAATCCGACCCTCTACTCTGTGGAGCTCCATGATGTTGGAGAGCTCGTTGAGGCACCATCTAGAGCCAGCATAATCTTTGGAGAAGATAATGATTGAAATCGTAGAACATTTAATTCCAAGTGACATATCGATCGAGATACTATTCCCCCTAGGAAGGTCCGCATCATCTTTGAAAACAACAATTCCAGCATTGCTTAAAGAGGAGTAGAGATGAGAAGTGAAAGATGCCCGAGTTTCTTCGCCTCTGAAGCTCAAGAACACATCGTACTTGCTACGGTACTTACCTGTCCCTGATTTTCCTAGCAGCAGAACATCATTTGGCGGATGGCTTTTTGACATTCTCTCCAAATGTTGCATATCAGAGTTCTCTCCAACAGGATAGTTAGCAATAAACAAGTCCTTCTTGTCCAGTATTTCACAAACACGCTCAACAATATTCTTGATATCCTCACTTTCGTTCCTGCGTTACAAACACAAATATAATAGAAAACGAGCTCAATAATATGACATATATACCTCAACGACCGTGCATTGAGGAGTTTAGAGATGAAAAATTGGACCACAACAGAGCACTCAATCAGGTCCGCAGAAGCACTTGTGAACATTTAAGCAAACGATTGAACTTAAGGAACCAGATGGTGCAATTTGCTCTATTAAGCAAACTAAAATGAAAATATCAAATGATAGTTCATCATAAAAAACCATGACAGCTTTGAGATGAATAAGAAGAAGACATATATTTTGAAGACCATGCGTTCGAGAGAATAAAGATGAAAATTTGGATGCCGAGAGAACATTCAACGAGGTCCACATGAAAATGAACTTGAGATTTAGGAAACACTTAAACAAACCACTAGACTCAAGGGAACATGGGCCATTGAATTTCCATGTGTCAATGGTAAGAATACTTTCTCTCACCTTCTCCATTTTTTTTTAACTATCTTTTCTGTGGGCCAATCACGAAATGCACCTTAAATTTTATAGGGCACAAATTGGAGGGAGTGGTCTTTCCTGAGCTAAAGACATATTTTATCTCTTGCTCTTACAGATGATGGCATTTGCAGTGCCTTAACAATTTTTTTGGCCTGACAATACCTTAACAACCAAGTCTTGCTTCAAGGTGCAACTTTTAACTCCAGAAAAAAAAAATTGCAGTGGCTATGAAAATATCATAATTTGAATAATTTACAGCATCATAAGCATAAAAGACGTAAATTTGACCGAAAATTCAAAGCAATAATCTAAAAGGAAACATAACATCATTTGTGCTAGTGAAATCGCTAGCCCATTAGTAATATTAAACGTGTTAATATTGCTGTTATTTATTAGACATGGAACTTTCTCATATCCAATATTACAAGTGATTTGCTTGCAAAAAAATTACGTGACTAATGGTACAAATTGCAGCAAGAATATATTATTGTGTGTGTCTATTCAGGCTTAGCAAAATTGAAAAGAAATTTTAAAAACAAAATATTTAAAAATTACTTGGAATTGAGCACGACAAATCCTGTAATGCCCCCAGCTTCACGGAGATCTGTCCTCCACCTCGACACTTCATCCTCTATGGGTGAAATTTTATGTATAAGATCTCGAAATGCTTTTCCAAAACTAGAGACTTGATTTTGAACTTCAGATGGATCCACGCCATAGAACACAGGCAACACTACTCGACCTTGTGCTCTGTGAAGCTCCATGATTTCGGAGAGCTCGATGAGGCACCATCTAGACCCAGCATAATCTTTGGAGAAGATAATGATAAAAATTGTAGAACGTTCAATTCCAAATAGCAATTCAGTTGAGATACGCTTCCCCCTAAGAACGTCGGTATCATCTTTGAAGGCAACAATTCCAGCATTGGTTAAAGCGGAGAAGAGATGAGAAGTGAAAGATGCCCGGGTATCATCACCTCTGAAGCTCACGAACGCATCATGCCGGGTCCTATGAAATGATTACTTGCCAAAATGGAGTGAGTATTACTGTTAAATATAATAAATTATCATCCGACACCCATATTTTATTTTGACGCATTCAGCATTGTGATGTTAATATTTAATTGTTTTAATTACTTCTAGCATCATAATTCTATTTACGTATGGTTTAGAGTGCTAGATATACTATAAATAAAATTAATGTGTTAGACACATAAAAAATGACATTCTAGATGCACAGTAAATAAAATCAAGGTACTGATGCTACTTTGCCCGTCATAAATATAAAAACTATAGATTAGTGATTGCATATTTAATTTGAAGAAAAATACAACAAAACAAAATATTGTAAATAGTAATTAGTTTGTTTTTCCCCTAATATATCATAAATATTACCAAAATTCTAAATGATAAATGGACTAATTTTTGTTTGCTGGAGGGGCTAGTCCTCCACTCTCATATTGTTAGTGAAATTTGAACTCACAACTTCATAAATTATGAGCTAACTTTTAACTAACTGGACTAATTTTTATTTGCTAATGAGTTTAAATTTTAAAACTATATATTCATTTATATGCTTGTATATATTCATTTTTAATCATTAATTGATTGATATTAATGCATTCTTTTATAAAAATATAATAAAAAAGGAAAATTGCTTCCTAAATCAAATTCAAAAGTTATTTATTTTCAATAATCCTAAGTTCTTGGTTTATGAATAAATCTATTGTTGAATTACGAGTGTATACACACACACACACACACACTAAAATAATATAAATTTACAAATCAAACAATACTTACCACCATTTATCATTTAAAGGGGATAAATTTATAGGTGAAGGTCGGTAAAGGTTTTCAGGAATAACAAACTTAAATTTAGTTATTGGAATAATTTTTCCTTAAAAAATTATTTGTTCCAAATTAAAATTAAAACTAAAAGGGGGGTGACAAATTTGTAGGTTTAGATATTTATTATTTATTGGAGAAAACTTAATTTCTTAGCGCTCAAGTTTTCACTTGTTTCTAATTTGGCTGCAATTTAGTCTGTAAACTTTGATTCAATATAACTCAATTCTTTATTTTAATCATTTAAAATACTATGTTTTAGAAGACAAAATGATATATTTTATGAAATTTAGAGACTAAAATTTTAAATGATTAAAATTATATATTGAGTTGTAGTAGGTTAACATTTAGGTCGAGAGTCAAAATTATGGGGATTAAATTTCCATCAAATAAAAAATCTCAGGGATGAGACATAAATGAGTGGAAATGGCATAATCAAATAATTAATTTTCGTCTATTATTTCTTTTCGTGTGTGTTGTGTGTGTTTTTTTTTTTTTTTTGTGTTTTTTTTGGGGGGGGGGGGGGGGGGAGGAGTTCCAAGAAACACACCTTGGCAAAGCCTGATGCCTCGCTGTGAATTTCCCAGCTGCTTTGTTAACAGCGTAGTGCTCATCAGATACCCCCGCGGTTGAGGCAAAGATGCTGGCCGATCCATACAGTCCTTTTTTTGTCACCATCCACCCCCACTGCTTGGTACTAGTATGGAATGCTGGTGAAACAGATTTTCAACTGTCGTTTAAACAGCAAGCATGCGAAAGGAATTGTTTCAAATATGTTTATAAGTGCTTATATTAAGCAAACCAAACCAATCTTTGTGCCTCCAAATAATTAGACGCATCAGTTATACAATCATCAATTAATTGTTCAATTATTTTTAGAAATGATATTTCAATCATTTCTTACAGTTTCCCCTGTTAAAAGAAAAAAATAATATGCCATATAGAAATCAGTGATTCCTATACATTCAGTAGAATTCGTTATGACCGCGGCTTCTTCCCTTATTCTGAAGGAATACAAGAAGGCAAAAAAAAAAAAAAAAAAATCCATGCATTGAAATTACAACAGCTTCTTAAGACTCAACAAATGATGCGTCAAAGACTGGATTAGGAGCAAATCATAGAGATTAGAGCGGAAGTTACCTGTGTGTGAAGCTGGGGTGGATGAGAGAGATTAATCTTATTTATCAGAGTGATCAGAAGAACAAATAGGGGCCTTTGCTACTGCTAAATCTCACACCAATAAGAATTTTCACCAGAAATGACGTCCCGATGAAGGGTTTAGTCAAAGCGGAAGCAGATCCTCTCAGCGGCTTTTCCTCTCAGCGTCCCTCAGCGTCGCTGATCCTGTCCGTCCAATTGATCTTGGGATGTCAGAAAGAGACACATCATCAAGCTTTTAAAATTGCATCTCCACCGTCCATTGTATCATAATCTTGACCGTCCATTCAATTTCCCAACCAAACTCCCAGAGATCGGAGAAGGAAGTCGGAAATGCACAGCCCTCATCGTCATCCACCGGTCGTCACCGCCGTAACTGTTCAATCTTGGACAGATACCAAGTATTCTGTAAATCAGTCAGTCTTGGACACCGCTGGACACTGTCGTAGAGTGCCCATCGTTTCCATTCCCATGGCCTTGAATCAGTTACCAAGCATGAAATTTCCACACTAGTTGTTACATCTCATATGCCGCTTAAACTTGTCAAGCTCAAATATTTCATTTCTCAGAAGCTCAGCCATTCCCAAACTGTTCTGTGAAGAACGCATTAAAGGGAAGCTTGAAGACGGAGGACTAGGGAAAGAAATTTTCTCGACAAAAGCAAACGGAAGCTCCACTCTTAGATGGACAGGGATTTGGCAGAAATGAAGAATTGAAGGGGCGGTCAGGATTAGAACAATACCGACGATGGAGAAGCAATTTTAAAAGTTGGATGACGTGTCTTTTTTCTGATCGTTCAGATCGAATGGACGGACACGATTTAAAGCTTCTGAGGGATACTGAGAAAAATGATACTGAGAGAAACCGGACCCCCTCTGTTTCATTTCTGCTATTTTGCTCGTCGATTCTTCTCCAATCGCTGTCTAAACATGCCTTTCTTCTTTCATTTCTTTTTTTTTTTTTTTTACGGAAAAATCTAAGACCGTCCGGTTTACTAAAACCCCGTCCCGGGTTCCGGCTCAAGCGTCGCTTCTCACCGGTCTAATCCGGCTCAACCCAGAAACGATTCCTAGGAGCAGAACAAATCGCTGTTACGTCCGGCTGACGGTCCAACCAGCCGGATCGGATCACTTTTAAGATATATAAAAATCTGAAACCCCGATTCCTTCATCAGATTTTCAGAATAAGTTGTTATATATCTTGCCTTTTGCCCGAAAGAATAAAAGGACGAACAAAGATGCATCCATTGAAATTTAAACAGCGTCATGTCTAAGACTGAAAAAATGATGCATCAACGAGTGGATTAGGAGCAAATAAAACATAAAGCAAATTAAGCGTTCCGGGTTGGAGATTAGAGCGGAAGTTACCTGTGTGCGAAGCGGGGGTGGACGAGAGATTAATCTTATTTATCACAGTGATCAGAAGAGGAGGAAGAAGAAAGAGATATAAGAGGCTTTTGTTGCTTCTTAATCTCCCCTCTTAAGAATGTTCTCGAGTAATGACGGTGTGGTGAAGGCTTCGTGAAGGTAGCTACCCGGCCAGGCAAGGGAAGCTTCTTTTTAAAAGTTCTGGCAAGTTTGGAACAGGAGACAATGGAGAAGAACAAGGGGAAATGACAATTTGAGACAGAAAGCCAGAGATCGAGGCGAATCAGTGGCACGCGATGATTAAAAATATTCTAAAGTATCATCTGCACAACATTAAAGTCTGATTTTCTTAGAAAATTTAAATTTAGCAGAGAGGAAGTTGACAGACTGACAGTCTCGAGTTTTGTAAAATAATTAAAAAATTATGGCTTGGTGACATGAATATTTCCTTTTGAGCAGGAGGCCACAAGTTCTATCATGTTTGAAATCTCAGTTGTTATTACTTACTTCTTTAATTAATCCTGATCCCCTTTTTGCTTTCGAACAAGCAGGTAAACTTCTTACAGAGTTCTGAGAGACCAATGGTTAGCTTAACTTGGTTGCCTTTGTCTTTCTGGTGAGAAATTCGAATAGCTTTCTATTTGATGGAAGAACTTGTGTTACTGCTACTGATTTAATGCTGAAGGGGTTGCATTCAGTGATGCTCTTGAGTATGCTGTTAAAAATAATCTTTAGGATGTTCAATTTGAGTCTGATAATCGGATGCTCATTAATAATCAAAGAGAGCTACCTGATTGGAGATGTGTTGGTGTCCTTGATAGTAATATCCAAGAATCAAGGAAATCGGTTAGGAACCACGCCTGCGCTTGGATTCCAAGAGAGGCTAATGCGGCTGCTGATCTTGCAAAAGCTACATTGAAAGGGTCATGTCCATTTGATTGGGTTTGGGGACTGCCCCCTTTACTGAGAAAATTGCTTGACCGGGATGCTTGAAATGTGACTGCAGATACAGGATAGTTTGCTCTGCTTATGTTTGTTCTTTTGATTGTTTCCTATGGTTTGTTTGATTTTGTTACCTGCCCTTTTGGACTTTAGTTTGTTATCAATAAATTACTTTCCTGGGGGTAAAAAGATTTAAAGCAAATATAGTTAAAGAGGGAGGCATATGTCTTTGTTTCTTATTTAGAAAATGATGCTTTTTCTGATTCTAAGTATAAGGACATCTGACATGTTTTATAATATAACATGTTTTATCTATAATAATAATTTTTTTAATATAACATCCCTATCAACTATGAAAAATAAATAAATAATTTTAATTGATTTTCTTAATGGGCTGTCTTATAATTAAATACTAATTTTTACCGGAAATTACTATTTTACCCATTCCTGAATTTTTATTTTTTTGGCACCTGGGGACCTAGAAGCTACTTGCTTTTTAGGTTTTAGTTACCTAACCATAACGGCAGCCTCATTTTCCTGTAAAAAATGATTAATTATCCCAAGTAAATTAATTTTTTTTAATAAAAAACATCAGTATTTTGATATTTTCTTTGGCCTGAAAAAAAAAAGTCAGTATTGGATGTTAAATATCTGAATAAAAATTAAACAAGGAACAGCTTGAAATAATTAAAAAATTCTATTAAATGCGCACCAATGAAATAGATTCAAGAAAAATAGACTGAGAATAAAGACAAATGGCACACAAAATGGACAGCTTGAATTTTATAGTTTTCCGATTATACAAGTCATATAACTAACTTTGATTAAAAATACTAGTTATTTATAAAAAAAATAAAGATAATTTATCAAAATCAAATACAAAGATAGCATGAGCTTGTTCAAGAATAGATAATCTAAGAAACGCTATAAAACAAAAGATAAAAAAAGAGACAAAAATAAGAAAAGATAAACATATCAATGCTAGTTCTATCCAGCTACCCTGCACTCCTTATTATACTTCCTGAAGCTTAGGCTCTTCAAAATCATGGTTTTTGTCTTTTGTACGCTTTTCTCAAACTACTAAAACAGAAGTGTCAACCAAAAAAAAAAAAAAAAAGGGATAACCTTGAAACTGCCTAAAGAACAAGGTAATTTAAAAAACTAACAGTACATAACTCTTTTTCCCCCTTGAGACTAAAATTTTAATCAAATATGACTCTTAAAACTGGCGCAGAATAAAATAGTTTTAGGAAAGCTCCATCACTCTGAAACATTGCCCACAGGGATGTTTGTTCAATCTTGGAGTGGCTCCCTGCTTAATACCAATATATTATTCATATGTCCCCTGTGAATACGGATTGCCCAAGATAATCAGCAATCAAGATTATCATGGTAATCCTCTTCACCAAGAAAAACAGAGAAAGGAAAGCCAAATACATACACTAGTAATAGGATCTGAATAACCATTTCCATAGGGCATAGAAAATGAACCAGGCGAGCTTTTATTCATATAATCAGATGATGATGTGAATTTGGAGAATGTTAGAACTCTAGTTAGGAATCCTTTGTTTAATGAAAGGAAAGCAAGCCATCCTGTCACGTACCACTTCACCGTGCTTTAGAGCTGCCCCACTCATTCTATTCTCTCACGCTTAGGCTCCGACGGCTTGAAATCATGGTTTTTATCATCCCCATGCAATTCTCTACCTACAAAAACAGAGAAAAATTACGTGAAAAACTAAACAGCATGAATTATGAAATAAGTAAAAATGTTAACCTTGCTCAAATCCACCAAAAGAATAAGGTAGTTACAATTAACCATAATCTACTAGATTCTTTTTCCTAAAACTAAATTACAATCCAAACACTCAAAGCTGGTGCATAGTTTTAGAGAGCTAATTATACTTGATAATGGTGGATCCTCCATCAGTTCATCAAGTGACTCACCATATTTCAAGTAGGCTGTTGTTCTTTTCACAATAAACCCATTACCAAAAACTACAGTGATCTCCACTTGGTCATTAGAGTTTAGATTTGATATTATTTCCTTCCATTCTGCTTCTCCAAAGGAAGTCACTGTGTCTCGCCTATAGTGCAGTGTGGTCGTCTTTGTATAGTTTATGATCAACATGCTAATGAAAGAGTCAAACTCCACATTTCTCAAATCACCTGAGGGGTGATATTCACAGCAAAGAGTCATCCCTTTTAACTCACAGCTACCAACTAAAGGCACTTTAAATTTTACAGAAGCTCCTTCACCCTTGAAGCATTGCCAATACGGATATTTGTCACCCGAGAGGACACAATCATCACCACCATCTCTGACAGTCGACCCCTGCTTAATAACACAAGCAGAAGCTCTAATTCAAGCTATATAATTGTACAAGCTGGATGGTCATTTCCAATTTTATTAAGAAAATTACATAAAAAACGAATTGTAGATAGAGAAGGAGGAAACCTGTAAAATGCCTTCTGAAAGAGTATTAGTGACTTGGTCATTGTTTCCAATGTGAATTAGAAGATGTCTCAAACATTCGTTTGACCTTGAGATGTCAACTTGACTATGATGATCAGCCAACACAGAAGATTCAATCTCCAAGAATTTTGAAGTATTTGCTGTCTTTGCCGTGTCCCTGCTGCTTGTGGCATATAAGGAATTCAAGATTTTTACAGCAACTCGATTTAACTCAGCATCATTCTTTGATGTGCATTCCAATAAAAGGCTTTGGGGCTTTGGAAGGTTGTCATGAATCGATGAAGGACACGAGATACTACAATTCTTTTTACATGAGGAAATTGAAGATGGCATGCTAGCATATGCTGGAATAAGAGAAAGAGGATTGTTCATTGGAGACATCCTTGACCAAATGAGGGATGGAAACACATGACGTGCAAGCCCTTGGTAACCACAAACAGATATATAGCCAATGCTTTTTTATCTCGCCAAAGAAATGGGCACTTTAGTTATTGCTATGTCATCTGCGATTACAGTTGACAAAGAATCCATCTGCTCTATGTCCTCCTCTAACTTTTCGATCATCAAACAACCAGAAAGAATGAGAGTTTTTAAGCACTTCAATTTATAAATGCTTCTTGGCACACTACGAAGGCCAGTACAATCCTTCAAATTTATTAGATGAATTTTATCAAGATGGCCTATTGTATTATGTATCGTGGCCAAACTTGGACAATCTTTGAGGATCAACTTTTCAAGATTTGGTAGTTTTGAAAAATCAGGAGTAGACACCAGGTAAGGAGAGTGGCTAAGATTGAGGATTTTTAGATTCTCCAACAACTACAAGAAAACAACATTCAAAAGGCTATTAGAGAAACATCTTGGAAAAAGTAAAATAAATGAAAACAATATGTAAAATCATTCTTTTAGAACAATTATCTATCTTCCAAACAATTCAATTGAAATTTATGCGCACACATAATTTATCATGATGGTGGAATGTCTAGCAAGGAGAATAGAAGAAAATAAATGTTGAAGAAAACCCAGGAGCTCTATCGAAGAATAGTGTCAAAGCAAGACTCATCTAGAAGCTACTAGAAAAAGTCAGAAATGAAAAATATATATACTCCTCCGGTCCTTAATATAGGACCCAATTCTCAAGTTGATTTTGGTCCTAAATATAAGACCCCTTTTTTATATTTATCAATTTTCTCTAAATTACCCCTATGAATACTCCTTCAACCATAATCAAGTAAAAGAGGGAGAGGGGTATTAAGAAAGATGATTATGGTGTTTTAGGAAAAATGTGTCACTTTTCTTATAATTAACTAACTTACCTAACTTCCTTAATCTAATCAAATTAGTTAAATGGGTCTTATATTAAGGACCGGAGGAGTAGAAGTTATGAAGTGGAACAAAATCTAATAATAAATTTGGTACATACCTGGGGTTCCCTCCAGAGTCTCAGACTGCTATATTTTAATTCAATAGCGACTAAATTATTTTGAAGGAAGTTGGCAGGGATGTATTTCAAAGGAAATTTGTGCCAACAGAGCCATTTGAGATCTCTACTAATGTATTTATAGTCTCCATCAAGTTCCACATTAGCAAGACGCAGCAGTCTGAGTGCCTTCATCTTCTTAAATGCTTTGGTTAAAAAATAAACTTTACCATCTTGTGACAGATTCAAAGCTAGCCCCTCCACAGATTCTGTACCCTACAAATAAAGAGCATACAAAAATTTAAGTGCCTGCTTCTAATTTGTTCGCTGAAAAGCAAAATGTAAACCTATGTCACAAGCAAGTCTCTAGAACAAGTAACTAAAACAATTGGGTTTAAAAATGAGTAACTAGTGCCTTGGAGAAAATAAACGACAAATGCGCCTACTAACAAATTTCTTATGAGAAGTTTCAAAACTACAAGGTTAATATGCCCAATACATTATCTTCATCTGACTTCATGTTTCATTCTACGTTTTCTTACATGATGATACATATAGCCTGGAAAAGTTCTTACTATATGTTTTGATAACACATCGATCACATCCTTATGAAACCACAACCTGCTATGCTTTCCAAATTCTTTTGGTGACTTTTCACGGATTATTTCTCTTCCCATATCTCGTAACAAATCATGCATACCAAGCTTGTTCTTCTCATCAATGGTCACGAGGCTTCTCTCCACAAGGACACTAATTCCAATGTCCGCAAAAAATCCACTGGCATTCAATATCTGTGTGACATCATTCCTATCCATTCCAATAAAGAAGCAAGATATATCAAGGAATATTTCCCTCTCTGTATCATCATTTAAACCATCAAAGCTTATTTTTAGCTTCTTTTGTATATGACCATTTGGGATTTTTTTTAGTTTGTCCAGTACACTCTTCCACTCTGTCAATTCCCTATCAAACAAATAGCAGCCAAGAATTTCAAGAGCCAGTGGTAGTCCTCCAGAATAAGCAACTATATTTCTAGAAAGTTCAACAAATCCTTCTCCAGGACTCGGCTGCCTAAACGCATGCCAACTAAAAAGCTCAATAGATTCATTTTCGTCCATGTTCTTTACTCTATATACATGGTCCACATCCACATTAAGACATCTTAGTAAATGTTCATCTCTAGTTATGATAATTATTCTACTTCCTGGACCAAACCATTTAACACTTCCAGATAAAGCATTTAGTTGTTCCACCTTATCCACATCATCAAGCACTACAAGTGCTTGCTTTTGGCGAAGTCTTTCTTTTAGCATGTTTTTTCCTGATTCAATGCAAGGTATTATCATCTTTGTTGTTTTACAGATTTGTGAAAGAAGTTGCTGTTGTAAGTAAACTGGACCATGATCTTGCTCCCAGACCTCCCTAATATTTGAAAGAAAACTTCTGCTCTCAAAATTTCCACCAATTTCATTGTAAATGGCCTTGGCAATTACTGTTTTGCCTATACCACCCATCCCCCAGATCCCAAGGAGGAGAACATCATTTGGTGGATGACTTTTTGACATTTTGATCGAATCTTGCACGCGAGAGTTTACTCCTACAGGATGGTTAGCAACGAACAAGTCTTTCTTGTCCAATATTTCACAAACGTGCTCAACAATATTCTTGATATCCTCACTTTCATTCCTGCATTACAAACAAATACAACGGAAAATGAGCACTGATGGTTCATATAAATCCTTGATTACGTTGAGGTGAATAACGTAATGTATATTTCATAAACCACGCATTTAGGAGAATAGAGATGACAAAATTGGACCGCAACAGAACGGGCAATCAGATCCACAGAAGCTCTTCTGAACATTTAAACAAATGATTGAACTTAGGGAACTAGATAGCGCAATTTGCTCCATTCAGCAATAATCATAACTCACAGAAAATTTTCATTTTGCACAAGTCAACAATATTAAAGGATTCCCTCCAATCACTAGAGATAAAAATGAGAAGAGAGATGATGAGCCCCATACTAACATCCCCCCTATGAGGGCCAAAAAAAAAAAAACACATCTCTATTTGTTGTCACTTTCACCTCTTGTCATTGAAAGGGGTCCGAACCTTCGAACAATTGGCATGAAGTTTTTATTTGGCATATAATTGGATTCCTTCTATTTTCTATGGATGCAGTTGAAACAACAGATTAAATAGAATAAATAAAAAGCGAATGATCTTACAAGTATTAAAAACATAGAGTTTATCTCTATCATATATAGACGATATATGACTTCAAAAGTTTCAGTTACTCGTCAGAACTTCACCCGAACATATTGATTATACATATGTGAAAACCTAAACCCTAATCTTTGATAACGTATTGCTGTTATTTGTTAGATAAAATCTTCTCATGCACAATAATAAAAGTGATTTGCTGGCCCAAAAAAAAAAGAGTGATTAAACCAACTCAATTATCATAGCATCATCCTTCTGCATAGTTTTTTTCAGACTTGGAGGCGCTCGCGATTTAGCCCTTCGATTTTATTATGTATCAGCATTACAGCAATATATGCTTGGACATCTAAGGATCACCTTAGCTTCTAGGATTTAAGATATATTGGCCTAGGTTTAGATATATGCTTGGGCGTCTAAGGACCACTTACTTAGTTTCATGTTCTATGTAGAGACATATAAATATATATATCTATAGACACACACACACATATACACGTATACATAATATTATATATTGACAAAAAATATTATATATATTTATAAATTTTAGTTTTTCAGTTTGAAACTGTAATTTTTTTCATTAACGGAATCAATAACGGAACATCGAAATAATCGAAATGAAAAACTGAAAATGTCTTCGGTTTGGCTTCGTGATCAGATATGTTTCGGTTTTGCTTTCCCTTGCCCAAGACGTAAGCGCTAGTTCTTTAATTTTATATAAAATTTTAATTTAGTTCAAGAACTAAGTTACGATCGAGTATTGTTTTTTCAATTTAGTACATCGCTATTAAACAAGCTTAAATTTAAATTCTTAAACTACATATTCATTTTAATTTATATGTTTATTACATTCATTTGAAATCATTAATTGATATTAAGAGAAGAAAAGGAAAAATATTTCCTAAATTAAATTGAAAAATTAATTATTTTCACTAATTCCCACATCACTGTTTGCATAAATTTATTTATCAAATTCATGTTAAGACTTAAGATAACGTAAATTTATGGGTCGTTGGCAAACCAAAAAGAAGCGTAAATTAATAACTTGATCAATATTTATCATTTAAATAGAATGAATTAAATAAATGTAAGTATTTATCATTAAGGTTTTTAAAAATAATGTACAACTAAATTTGCATCTTGGAATAGTTTTTCTTTAAAAAAGTATCGTTTTTGCAAATAAAAATTAAAAGAATAATGACAACATCTTAGGTGTAAATGTTTATTAGTAGACTAAAATATAAATTTGATCATCTATCTTTAAAAAAATATATTTTTAGTCTTTTAATCATAAAACTATTAATTTTAAATGATGAGTTTTTTGTAACTCAAGATTACTTTGAAAATTAAACTTAATATGTTAGTATTTGAAAATGTTTTATCAATCTTCAATATATCAATATCATTACTTTTTGTCAATGGTGTTAGGTTTAAAAAACTAAATATATACTTTTAAAATTAAAAAATCAAATTGAAATCTTATTTGAAATTAAAAAAACTAAAAAAATACTTTAATCTTATTAATTTATTTATCGGAGGGAAGATAAAAGCACTACCTCCGCAGGTGCCGCATGATGTACCCCTGCACGAAGCGATCGCGGGGCGTGAGCGGCACGGGCTGCAAGTGCGGCCCCTGCCCCGGCAGTCCCTATTCGAACTCAGGATTGCGGAGGATGTGGCCTTTCCTCCTCACGGCTAGTCGATCCTTACGGTCCATTTTTTATCTTTAGCCCTGCAAACATCAATTATTTTGAAAATAGATATTTCAATAATTTCTTATTTTTTTATGTTCTTTTACTTAATTTTAAAAAATGAAAAGAGCACATCACTATTTTGCCTTGTTAAAAAAAAAAAGTTAAAGAGTAAATTTGTCCCCAATATTTTGGCTCAAGGCTGAAAATTTATTAGTATAAATTTGTTCTAAAAATTTAAAATCATAACAGTATTAACCTCTATAAAAAAAATAGTAATAATTAATATCAATATTTTAACATGAACACTAGTCTTGTAATAACAGAGACAAAATTAATACGATTTTAAACTTCATAAGTAAATTTATATAAAATATAAGACTTTTGAATGCTTAGCGCTCTAAAATAAAAACCACGGCGCTCAAATTTACATCTTACCCCCAAAAATAAAAATAATGTCATAGAGAAATCAGTAATTCCTCGATCAATTCTCAGAATAATTGGTTATATGTGTCTTCTCCTTTTTCCAGAAAGAAATGCATGCGTTGAAATTAAAATAGCACAATCTTAAAAAGACTAAAGAAGAGACGACGCAAATCAAACATAAAGATGAAAGCAAGAGATTAGAGCGGAAGTTACCTCTGTATGAAGCTGGGAAGGATAAGAGATTAACTTATTTACCAGAGTGATCGGAGGAAGAAGAAAGAGATATGAGAGGCTTTGGCTTCTTCTAAATCTCACCCCTTCAGAATTTTCTCCAGATATGTTTGAAATGATGAAGGCTTAGAGAAAGCAGCTGCGTGGCCAGGAAAGTAAAGCTTTTTCTTTTTAATAAAAGTCTCGCGAGGTTGAAAAAGGAGACAAAGGCGCTGGTCAAAAGGGAAGGAAATTTTAAAAAGATAATAATAATAATAGAGGAGGCAACGGAAGAACGAGGGGAAATGGCGTTTTGGGACGAAAAGGGGCGCGTGGCGAATCAGTGATGCTTAATGATACAAATAGTTTTAAAAATACTGTTCACACTAATCTAGTATTATCTCATATCCTTAATATGAGAACTGATTAATTAGTTTGAGTAGATTAAAAAATTTGTTAAGTTAATTATTTGTTATAATTTGGTATTGTCTTTCCTAAAACAATCTTTCTAATCCTGTATTAGCTAAAACTATAATTTAATTAAACATTTAACATATGTAACTACTAAGGATTATTTTGAAAAAAAATAAATACATATAAGACACAAAGTAAACTAGGACTAAATATTTGAACTAGTTGGTTAATTTAAAAATATTAAAAAATTGGAAAATATTAAAAAATTAGTTAAATTAGTTATTTATAATTTGTTACTTTTGTATATTAGTTAGAACTAAAATTTGATAAAACCTTTAATATTTACAACTGATACAAAGACAATCTTAAAAAAATAGATAAATATAAGAGATAAAATAGATTGGAATCTTATATTTAAAATAAAATAAAATTTTAAACTAGTTTTTATATTAAAGATTGGAGGTGTTTTTTATTTTAACAAAGGTATCAAACGTGGGAGATAAAGCAGAAAACATTATGAAATTAAGGAGAATAATTTTAACAAAAATATTAGATGAGGGAAATAATAAGGAATATATTGAAATTATCATACATTTATTGAAAAGAGTAAGGTCTGCTTCTTATGTGAAGGAGAGTATGTGCTTTAATGGAATTGAAGATGAGATGGTTGCAGCCAGCTACCGCCTGACAGGTGCTGATAAAATAGGCCCCATCTCTTTTTTCTTCTCATTCACGCGGAGAGAGGAAAGAAATTTGACGCATCATTTTGGCCTCTCAAGTCTTTAGATGAAATCTCAAGGAAATTGCCTAGATAGCCGAAACGGTACGCCGTTTATTCCGCTTTTATGCTATCCATCAATGCACATATAATAAATGTTTCTCATGGCTCCAATTGACCATAATGTCGTTTCCTACTTCTTCATTCTCTGATTTGGAATTCAATAATTCTGAGTATTATCACGTCTTCTTAACTAGCAGCAATCCCAAAGACTGTGAGAAAACCTTCAAAAAGCTAGACACAGTCTGAAGCTATTTTAATGGTGTGCTTAAAATACAGGTTTTTGAATATGATTAAAAGCTTATCTCTCCAAATTCATATATAATCTTTTAAGCTTATTTAAAAGCTTACTTTATGTTTTAAAAACCTAAAATTCATTCTCACCTACAACATAAAAGATAAGGGGGAAGGAATATCTAGTAACAACAATTGCTTGAGTAAGTAGGAGTAAGAAAAATCAATTGCCTGTTGACTCAAAATTTTCTGCAATCAATTTAGTATAACAAAAAGCATTAAAACTGGATTTTACCTTTTAATTTTTGCCCCTCATAAACTAAGACAAGCTCCTCTTACTGATGTTATAATATTTCATTTTGGTATTATTAAAATAAATATACGGCAATTATTACGTTTTAGCAAGAGATTTGAACATGTTTATGTGAAGTATGAATTACATATTTGTTTTCTTCCCGTTTAGTAAAGTTGGCATTTTTACGTAGCTCCATAGAATAGAGAAGATATCTCATTTTAGAATACTCCTTCTAGTTCTAAATATAAAACCCATTTTATAGTGCAATTTACACTACAAAATGAGTTTTATATTTAGGACCGGATGAGTATAAATTATCCCACCTTCAAATCTATAACATGTTCAAATAAATAACTAATTATAAAACAAAATATATGATGATAATGTTTTATTTTTCTTCATCTTTATTTAA